CTCCAATACGACAAATTCAATTCATCGTTGTATACATTCATATTTGATATACATCAATTTTGAAAGAAGCAGAGGTATGAAATGTTTTCCGTCATTGGTTCTTCTATTCTTTCACATTAACTGTTGCATTTCTAATGTATACCCAGCAGTGAAAAACGTTTTTTCTTCCGTTCTGTCATATGGTTTAGTATTTTTTTCTTGAATGATGAAGCGTTACAAAAAACAAAATACAACATGTGAGTGACTTAAAAGTACTTTTAATGATGAAGAAGAAATAAGCAAAAAAACACGTCGACGTTTCATTTTCCTCTCGCCTGTTGAAAAATGCGGCACTAAAAGTTTTGTATACCAGGAAAGAATTATTTTAAAACAAAATTAATCTATCCTTGCTGCATCATAAATGGCATTAGCGCAAGCAGCAGCTGCAGAAAACACGAATGAATATAAAATTCGGCGGATTCGTTCAGAAAACAATAAATTTGATGATGTGACGTTAATTTGGCTCGACGCTCATATCGACGAGAGTAGTGACTGTTTACAAGCCAAAGTTCATTTACGTCTCATCATCAACGTTTTGAAGACTTTCAACGATGTAGAAACATGTATTGCGTACATTAAATCGATTGATGATGATGAACCAATATGTGTGGTTGTATCCGGAGCATTGAGTAATGCTTTCATACCACTTGTTACTGATTTATCACAGATTGTCTGTGTGGCTGTCTACTGCTTTAATGAGTCAGCCTATAGAGTTAGTGCCAATAAATTTGCCAATCAATCTTGTAAATTTGTAGGCGTTTTTATGGAGTTTGATCCCTTACTTGAAGCACTTAATGAGCGAGCCAAAATGGTACGTAACTCATTATCATTGATTTTACCACTTGCATATGAAGGTGATAATCGACAACAAAAATCTATAAAAGATTTGACTCATGAAAACACCATTTTTGTCTGGTTTCAGCTTCTCATTCATGCAATCTTTCGATTACCACGCACCGATGTAGCACGAAAAGAAATGATTCATGAATGTGAACGGCAATACTGTGGAAATTCAGCACAATTGGCTAAAATTAATGAATTTGAAAAAACATATAAACCTAGTGATGCTATTCATTGGTATACACGCGATTCATTTGTTTATCGAATAATAAATCGAGCTTTACGCACACAAAATATTGATATTATTCTAAAGTTTTACCCACTGATTGCTGATATTCATGATCATTTGACTACTTTACACCAACACTTCATTGACGTAGGACCACCACCTGTTCTTACTGTTTACCGTGGACAAAAGATCCACATCGATGAATTAAGCAAAATTACCCAAAATGTGGGCCGTCTTCTATCGATGAATTCTTTTTTTTCAACAGGTTCCAACCGTATACTAGCACGTTTATTTGCGGGGGAGTCGAATCAAGCAAATGATCGACTTGTTTCGATTCTTTATGAAGTCTATATAGACACCAAAGTACCTGCAGCACCGTTTAGCAATATTGGACAAAACAGTCAATTTCCTGATGAGGAAGAATTTCTTTTTTCTGTCGGTGCCATCTTCCGTATCGAATCAGCTGACGAGATCACTGATGATCTTGGCAAAGTCTGGCTTGTCCGCATACGTTTGGTCGATGAGCGTCATGAACAAGAACTCAATGACCTTCTCGACCACTTGAAATCGCACATGGGTGAAACCAGTTCTATTCTCATTTTGGCTGCGTTCCTTTTTCAAATGGATGATATAGCTGGCGCAGAACGATATTACACATTACTACGTGATGAATTGCCGGAAGATGATTCGGACCAACCGATTGTTTTGAATAACCTTGGGCAGATTGCTCATAAAACGAATCGAACACAGGAAGCTCTTGATTTGTACGAGCAAGCTCTGAAAGGATACGCCAAAGATGCTGTTCCACGGCCGTATCTCACTGCCATTACAATTGGCAATATTGCCACGATTCATTACTCGAAAGGTGATTATGAGAGAGCTGAAGTTCAATTTAGAAAAGTTCTTGAATTGCAAAAAGATTGCCTAGATGCCAACAATGAATTATTTATTACAACTCGAAATAATCTTGGCGCTATCTTACATCAGCGAGGGAAACTTGAGGAAGCACTCGAGCAATATCAAAAAGCACTGGTTTTATGCCAATGTGTTTTCAAAACAGAAAATCATCCAACACGTGGTACAACTGAAGGAAATCTCGGTAATATTTATGATGCCTTAGGTAAAAAGCGTGAGGCCATCGATTGCTTTGAACGATCTCTCGCTATTTGCAAGCGTTGCCTTCCACCTGGACATTATTCATTGGTTAGTAGCCATGCTAATTTAGCACATATGTATAATGAGATCGGTAACTATGAAACAGCCTTGAATCATCTTGAATGCGCTCTAACCATAGAAAAACAAGCTGGTCACGGTTCCCAGAAAAATCCAATCTCACTAGCAAATATTCTCGACGGATTCAGTTTAGTATACCTTCGGCAGAATAAACTCACTCAAGCACTTGGATACTGTAATCAGGCATTGAAAATATTGCCAAAGGGTCATCCGAACAGAGCTTTCACTTATAGACAACTAGGTGCCATATATAGAAAAATGGGTATTTATCAACTTGCCAGAAGAGCATATCAAGAAGCAATCAGTGTCAATCCACACAACGAAATTATACTTGCAGAAAATCTTCATTCTCTTGGCTTAGTTCAGTCTGATGAAGGAAAGCACGATGAAGCCATCATGTTATACAGACGTGCCCTAGAAATTCGACAACGACTACTACCTCCTACGCACCCAGCTATTGGTAAACTGTACAATGAAATCGGTGGTACATTTCTCTCGATCGGACGTTTGGAAGAAGCTCTGGAGCATTTTCAAAAGACAAGAGCTATTGAAGAGGAAGCGTTGCCAGAAATGCATATAGAAAGAGCACGTACATCGAATAATATTGGTGTCACGCTGTTCAAACTAGATAGACCTGAAGAAGCACTACTGTTTGTGGACCAAGCAGTTGCAATAGCTCGTGTTCTACTTCCCGATACTGACTCTCTTCGTATCATGTTCCAAACAACAGCTGATTGTGTACGCAAGCGAATTGAGACCGGTAGCTGTGAAGGCGTCAATGTTGGCGTAAAATAACTTGTCAACGTTAAAGATATGAATGAAACTGTGCATGTAGATGTTGCTTTTCTCATTTAATCCCCATCACATACCCACACACAGATCCAAATTTGGGTGTGGGTATGGGTGTGGGTGTGGGTGGGTGTGAGGTGTGAGTATGGGGTGTGGGTGTGGGTGGGTGTGGGTGTGGGTGTGGGTGTGGGG